ACCAGGTGCCTGGCACTATACTATCCTGCTAGTACGAAACAGAGACAGTCACTGGCTTCAAGAACAAAAAGCCTAGGCAACTGGAGGATGTGTAAAAAATTATAATATGATACAAATTATAGTGAAAGTAATAACAAAAAAAGAGAGGAAACCCTGACCTTTAAAAAGGCATTACGGTTATTGTTTGGGTTGGAGACTTGAAAAATGAGTATTGTATGTTCAACCGAACATACCAAAAAAACCCAAAAACCTAGGCGAAGAAACATGAAAACACATGGAAGTGTGAGGTGCTAAGAAAGCGAAAATAGGTGCAACTCGTGGATAAAGTTCAAATGAGAACTAGCAAGAGAAAAGGCATGGGAGGCCAGAGGACAAAAGGTCTTGAAATTCATGCAAATTTCTCCTGTAAGTGACAGGTCCCAAAACTTTCTCAGTTCAAGAAGCTATTCAGTTCAGTTCAGTTGCTCAGTCATGTCTGACTCTTTTAGACCCCATGAATCACAGCACGCCAGGCCTCCCTGTCCATCACCAACTCCCAGAGTTCACCCAAACCCATGTCCATCGAGTCGGTGATGCCATCCAGCCATCTCATCCTCTGTCGTCCCCTTCTCATCCTGCCCCCAGTCCCTCCCAGCATCAGGGTCTTTTCCAATGAGTCAGCTTTTCGCATGAGGTGGCCAAAGTATTGGAGTTTCAGCTTCAGCATCAGTCCCTACAATGAACACCCAGGACTGATCTCCTTTGGGATGGACTGGTTGGATCTCCTTGCAGTCCAAGGGACTCTCAGGAGTCTTCTCCAACACCACAGTTCAAAAGCATCAATTCTTTGGCACTCAGCTTTCTTCACAGTCCAACTCTCACATCCATACATGACTACTGGAAAAACCATAGCTTTGACTAGACGGACCTTTGTTAGCAAAGTAATGTCTCTGTTTTTTAATATGTTATCTAGGTTGGCCGTAACTTTCCTTCCAAGGAGTAAGCGTCTTTTAATTTCATGGCTGCAATCACCATCCACACTGACTTTGGAGCCCAAAAAAATAAAGTCTGACACTGTTTCCACTGTTTCCCCATCTATTTGCCATGAAGTGATGGGACCGAATGCCATGATTTTAGTTTTCTGAATGTTGAGCTTTAAGCCAACTTTTTCACTCTCCTCTTTCACTTTCATCAAGAGGCTCTTTAGTTCCCCTTCACTGTCTGCCGTAAGGGTGGTGTCATTTGCATATCTGAGGTTGTTGATATTTCTCCCGGCAATCTTGATTCCAGCTTGTGTTTCTTAGTGTATCCAAAATTATTTTACTATGCCCCTTGGCCAAAAAAACAACAAAACCCAAAAGCTGAACAGTTCCATTATCAAGGAGTTAGGTTCAAACAACTTAATAGGTATTTATGCCCTAGCAATGTTCATTTAAACAAAACAAACCTAAAAGAGTATTTTCTTCTGTTGGATAGCAAATATTAACTGAGTGTGCATGCCAATCGGCACTGTACAAATCAGATTGGATATTGGCACTCTCATTTCTTATTCCATAATGATTTTCATGTGATACTTGATTTGTATTGCAGCAAGCAAGAGAGTTCCAGAAAAACATCTATTTCTGCTATATTGACTATGCCAAAGCCTTTGACTGTGTGGATCACAATAAACTGTGGAAAATCCTGAAAGAGATGGGAATACCAGACCACCTGACCTCCCTCTTGAGAAACCTGTATGGAGGTCAGGAAGCAACAGTTAGAACTGGACATGGAACAACAGCTGCTGCTGCTGCTAAGTCACTTCAACTGGTTCCAAATAGGAAAAGGAGTACGTCAAGGCTGTATATTGTCACCCTGCTTATTTAACTTATATGCAGAGTACATCATGAGAAATGCTGGGCTGGAGGAAGCACAAGCTGGAATCAAGATTGCCAGGAGAAATATCAACAACCTCAGATATGCAGATGACACCACCCTTATGGCAGAGAGTGAAGAGGAACTAAAGAGCCTCTTGAAAGTGAAAGAGGAGAGTGAAAAAGTTGGCTTAAAGCTCAACATTCAGAAAACTAGATCATGGCAGCTGGTCCCATCACTTCATGGGAAATAGATTGGGAAACAGTGGAAACAGTGGCTGACTTTATTTTTGTGGCCTCCAAAATCACTGCAGATGGTGATTGTAGCCATGAAATTAAGATGCTTGCTCCTTGGAAGGAAAGTTATGACCAACCTAGACAGAATATTGAAAAGCAGAGACATTACTTTGCCAACATAGGTCCATCTAGTCAATGGTATGGTTTTTCCAGTAGTCATGTATGGATGTGAGAGTTAAGACTATAAAGAAAGCTGAACACTGAAGAACTTATGCTTTTGAACTGTGGTGCTGGAGCAGACTCTTGAGAGTCCCTTGGACTGCAAGGAGATCCAACTAGTTCCATCCTAAAGGAGATCAGTCCTGGGTGTTCATTGGAAGAACTGATGTTGAAGCTGAAACTCCAATACTTTGGCCAGCTGATGCAAAGAGCTAACTCATTTGAAAAGACCCTGATGCTGGGAAAGACTGAGGGCAGGAGTAGAAGGGGACGACAGAGGATGAGATGGTTGGATGGCATCACCAACACAATGGACATGGGTTTGGGTAAACTCCGGGAGTTGGTGATGGACAGGGAGGCCTGGCATGCTGCAATTCATGGGGTCACAAAGAGTAGGACACGACTGAGCAACTGAACTTAACTAAACTGAAACCAGTGAATGCCCAAAACCAAAACCCCAAACCCAGCTTCATAAAGAGGTATCATTGAAGGGAATTTAGTGTGATCTAACATTGAAACTGAACTATCTTGAGCTGGCAGTTTGCACTAGTGTCCAATAGATAGCAACGATTACTCTATTTCCTTTGCAAACTTAAAATACTGAGTTTACTATGACACGCAAGAACAATTTGAAAATCTAAAAGCTTTTGTAAAAATAATTGACATAATCTAATTAGAATGTTTAGAATAACCTAATACCTTTGAAGAGGTAGATTAGAGATTATAAACCTAGTAAAAAAGATTACTGCAAGTACATCAGCTAAGAAACGAAGATGATACAAACTGCAACATGGGCAAAGATATGAGAGGAGACTTGGGTACATCCATTAATAGTTCTTGCTAACTAAATGGATATAAAGGAGTGAGCAGTGGCATAAGAGAGAAAGTTGGCTAAGTTCCTTTTCCAAAATATACTTTGAGTATTTTAATAATCATATTAGAGTTTAATTGGTTCCACCTGCAATCCTGTATTCTATTTTATGCACAAAAAACATCACATTAGTCTGAAAAGGCCCGTTAGGCTTCACCAGAATGCCACAAGGTTAAAAATATCTATAGTCACCTCTCAGTATCCGCAGGGGACTGGTATCTGCAGTATCCCAGGACTCGTGGTCTCATATTGTGTCTGCTGATGCTCAAGGGCCATAGTGGTCCTCCGCATCCACAGTTCTGCATCCATGGATTCAACCAACTGTGGATCATTTATTCAAAAGTTCTACTGAAACAAATCCACATAAAAGTAGACCGACCCTTGCAGTTCCCAGCAGTGTTGTCAGGGTATACTGTATTGGCTATTGAACATCCAAGTCTGAAATTCAGGAAAAATATGACAAATGTTAACAATGTACATAATGCAGTGAAAGTTGCATGAATGTTTAATTCATGATTGAAGTGGTGGGTGTAGATGAAAGTTTTCAAGGAGGGGTACAGAGGTTGAGAAGAGAAGGAGGGTCAAGGGCAGACACCTAGAGAACACACACACTCTAGGGAAGAACAGAGAGTGAGACCCTCATGGGAAAACATCTAAAAGGAACAGACAGATAAGAGAACCAAGAGAGCAGTGTTACTGAGACACAGGGGAAAAAGTATTGTACAGGTAGAATGTAAGGAAGACAAAGATTAAAACGGTCCAGGGAATTTTGAGAACTAGTAAAATGATTTTAGAAAGTTCAGTGAACCAGTATGAATAGAAATAACAATACCATTATGGGCAAGGAAATAAATAGAGGCATATATAAATTAGCTTTTCTAGAAATTTGGCTGTGGGGAAAAAAAAAAGAACAAGAGCTAAAGGTGCAGACAGGCCTTGGCGAGTTAAAAAATTTTTAAATATGAAATGAGAGACATGGTCATGTTTACACCTGTTACCCAGCCTCATAAACAGACCTTTCTATGGGCTGAACTAATTTTTTTAAAAAGCAAGAAAGGGACAGGGCAATAGCTCAATTTTGTGCCCCTACTATTCCTCCCCTAGCCACCTAGCCCTTTCCATTCCTCCTAGGGCTTTTCCTCTTACTGAAAGCCTACTCTCTACTTACTGCAGTATTTTATATTTCTGTCAAAGAGAAAAATAACTGGAACTCTAAATACCATTAATTAATATGTATTGTCTACCATGGCACTGTTCTAAGCAGTTTGCACATTTTATTTTCCTCATAAAAATGTCATAGCATAAGACCACTACACTCATACTTCCTCTTTCAAATAATTACACTAGGAAGTATGCTATAGCAAAAACATTCCAGACCTCAGTATTATACAAAGCACAGTTCAAATTTTGGCTCAACTATTTACTCTTTCAGGAACTTCACAGTTACTTCACCCATCAAGTATTTATAAAAATGTCTACCTAGAGCTGCCTGAGTGAAGATCAAATGAGATCCCACAATGCTTAGTGCAAAGTCAGGGCTCAATAATACTATACCTCTGTATGTTGACAGACAAATCAACAAAAGCCATGAAAATAACAGAAAAGAAAAATTCAAATGCAACTGTTTTATTTCAATGACTACTTACAACAAGGAGCAGAGACATGAATACCTGCACAATTTAAGTTCATGGACATCTACAATAAATGTATTATCTTACAAAATAATAATCTATGAGAATATATAAAAGATGACTGAGCCAACATTATTTGGTACTTTTCATACTTTCATTAACTTCAACTTAACTATTCCCTTTCAGAATATAAAATTAAAAATTGACAAGCTATTTATAAAAAGATGAGTAATTTTGTTCATCAGGTTGAGTTCTGAACATTTTCTTCTTCAGTTCAGCTGTTTTCTCATCTATTTTAGCATGACAGTCCTCTGTTGCCTTTTCAATGCCTTCGTGGTATTTCTCCAAAGCAGCTTTCAAGCTGAGAAATATTTCCTAAGTAGAAAATGAAATACAATAAGGATTATTCCATGAAATGACCAAAACTAAAAGTGAGTTATAAGAATTCCAACAGTCCCATTCATATTTATTCATATTTTAAAGCCTAAATTATCTTATGCACATGCACATACAGACACATGTGTGCCTACTCTTATTAAGCCATACAGATGCATCAAAAGTCACCTACCTAGAAAGAACAAAGCAAAAAAAAAAAAAAGAACAAAGCAGAGACATTAACAATGGCTTGAATTCTAAGACATTAAGGACATATTTTTAATAACCAAAGAAAAGTTTTTACTTTGGAGCTTTTCATGTTTACCAGGCAGATACCTAGTTTTCTGTAAACAGCTATAACCTCTGCATTTGATTCTGATCATCATTTAAATTACATGTGAACAGGTTTAATAAGTAAACTAGAGGACTGAAAAATACACCAATAACTTTGTTTTAATAAACTGATCAGGCAGTCCTACTATAAGCAATAATGAGTTTTCATATAAACCTATATGGATATGTTAAGAATTAAGAAAAAACTACAAAACAATTTTTATAGACTGAATAAAATAATAAACCAATTAGTCTGCATGCATTATCTTTTATCTCATGCTTATCAAGTGCAATTTTGACCCATTTATTATTGATTTTTCTTATACAAAATAATTCTCAAATCTTGATACAAGAGAAAGTAGTATTCTGAAAGATTATAAAAGGTGTTCCACCACTGAAATAAAACAGCAGGGCTTTTCCAATGGAAGGAAAAAGCAATAAATGGGTATAATGGTTATAAATATTCTCCATTTTAACTGCTGCTCCCATTAAACTTTTCTTAAACCCATAGTATAGCTAGTACTTATCTTAGTTTAAATTCTAGTGTAGATACTATCTGATTTTGAGCAAGTTATATAGATCATAATTAAACATAGTATGAATTCAAAATGTTTCAAAAAGAACAACACTATTTCCAGAGACTGTCACCTATGCAAGTTTGAGAACTATTGCTCTAGATTAAGTGAGAATATAAAGAGATGGTGAAGGCTAAACACTTTCCTAAAATCTAAACATGGATCATTATTAAATCATAATATAAAAACAGAAGAGTGTACTTAAGATTCCCAACATTTAATCAGACATAAAATTACTACAACTATGATGGAATATACATCATTAGGGAAATAAATAAAAAAATTTTGATGCCTCTATTTCTTAAAGCTTATAGGAAAAATAAGGTGAATTAGTTGCTAGCTTATGTAAATACCATTTTTAAAAATTGGCACAATCAGCAGCTACAGATCAATTTAATTTCATGATTCTATATAGGAATATGTATTTATTCATATTAAAAGAAAGCTGAATAAATTTGGTAGAAAGACATTACTCAGGAGAAACTATTAAAACAAAGTGCAGCTAAATAAAGATACATAATCTGTAAATATCTGAACCAACCATTTAGACAAACTCAGGGGAACAATTTTCTCCTGAGGACAACTATATTCTCAAGGAGGAACCAAATCTGGCATGTAGAGCACAGTGAATGAATGAAATATTAAAGCCCAATTCCACTGGCACGTCCACGAAAGCGAACGGACATCTGAAGTTCTAAGCCAATCCTCACAGGATGTTTGTTAACAGCAACAGATCAGAGCCCTCACAAAAGCTACATATTTCAGTTTCCAATTAAACTCTGTATCCAAGTGGAATTTTATATTAGCTTGCATAATAAGTCTCACTGTGATGGCTTGCCTGGAGTTAAATATTTTTAATCTCAAACTCTAGTTCCACAGCGTCTAACAGACAACCACTAGGAATATGTGATTATTTAAGTTCACATTTAAACAGCTGCATGCTCCTCAGCTGCACAAGCCACGCTTCAAATGCACTGTAGCTACATGTACCTAACGGCCACCATACTCAGTAGTCCAGGACATTCCCAGCAGTAGGTTCTATTGGACAGCATTGGTCTAGGTAATTATCTCACTTTCCAAATCAGAGATATCAGGATTATATAATATCCACGGAGTTCTATGGCCAATATAGCCATTTATCCATCAAGTATGTATTAACTCATCAACCAACATACTATTGACTGCCTTCTACCATAGCACTGTAAGTAGTATAACAGTACAATGGAACATGCAGTTATGCTTTTCGACCCTATGAAACATACAATCCAGACTCGTTTGGATACTCAGCACTTGAAATATAGCTAGTATAAACCAGGAACTAAATTTTAGATTTTATTTCATTTTAATTAATTTAACTCTAAGTGTAAATAGCCACATGTTGCTAGTAGCTATGACAGCACAGATCAGAATAGACTAATAATGCTATAGTATTTGAGAAGAGAAATCAACAGTATCTGAAAGGAGCCACGGAAAGTTAGAGGGAGAATACATTTTTCATTAAACCTTAAACGATGAAAACGATGAGCTTAGACACAAAACTTGAATAATCCTAGGGGGCAGGGATCACGGCTTCTTTGCTCACCCTTACTCTCTGAATCAACTACAAAGGCTACTAATAGTAGACCCCTCTCACGGCTCACAGCTGTCACAGCAGAGGCAGAAGTGACGCAAGACGCTGTGCGCCATGCTCTGCAGGGCCGACCGAGACGGCCGGGTCACAGTGAGGGGCTCTGACGACACACAGCTCGGTGGAGAGGAGACCGCAGTCCACTGCAGCGCCCGTGCCTGGAGAGCACCATGCGCGGTGTGAAAAGGGAGAGACACTATGCCAGAAGATGAGCCAGGTCACAAGGCGTCCAGCATGCTACTGAGCAGGAGCGGAGAACAATCCCTCATCGCACCAGGGAGAGCAGGCAGCTGGGCCAAAGCAGAGACGATGCTCCCTTGTGGATACGTCAGGTGGTGAAGGTAAAGTCCGAGGCTGCATACTGTCATCCGGCTTATTTAACTTATATGCAGATCACATCAGGTGAAATGCTGAGCTGGATGAATCATAAGCTGGAATAAAGACTGCCAGAGGAGAGGATGAGGTATATGGAAAGAGTAACACAGAAACTTACATTGCCACATGTAAAACAGACAGCCAACAGGAATTTGCTGTATGTCTCAGGAAACTTAAACAGGGGCTCTGTATCAACCTAGACGGGTGGGGGGGAGGGAGATGGGAGGGGGCTTCAAAAGGGAGGGGTACATGTATACGTATGGTGAGGTTTGACAGAAAACAGCAAATTCTGCAAAGCAATTATCCTTCAATAAAAAAAAATACTGCTGGGAGAAATATCAACAATCTCAGACATGCAGATGATACCACTCTATAAAGAATACTGCACAGGAACCTGGAATGTCAGGTTCATGAATCAAAGTAAATTGGATGTGGTCAAGTAGGAGATGGCAAGAGTGAACATCAACATCTTAGGAATCAGTGAACTAAAAATGGACAGGAATAGGCAAATCTAATCCAGATGATCATTATATCTACTACTTGGGCAAGAATTTCTTAGTGAAATGGAGTAGTAGCCTTCACAGTTAACAAGAGAGTCCAAAATGGAGTGCTTGAGTACAGTCTCAAAAATAACAGAACAATCCTGGTTTGTTCACAAGGCAAACCGTTCAATATCACAGTAATCCAAGTCTATGCCCAACCATTAATGCAGAAAAAGCTGAAGTTGACTGGTTCTATGAAGACCTACAACACTTTCTAGGACTAAAAAAGACATCCCTTTTCAACATAGGATATTAGATTGGAAGTAGGAAGTCAAGAGATATCCAGAATAACAGGCAAGTTTGGCTTTGAGTACAAAATGAAGCAGGGCAAAGACTAACAGAGTTTTACCAAAAGAAGGAACTGTTCATAGCAAATACCCTCTTCCAACAACACAAGAGATGATGCTACACATAGACATCACCAGATGGTCAATACCAAAATCATATTGATTATGTTATTTGCAGCCAAAGATGGAGAAGCTCTATACAGTCAGTAAAAACAAACAAACAAACAAACAAAAAACCCGGAGCTGACTATGGCTCATTATTGCAAAATTCAGGCTTAAATTGAAGAAAAGTAGGTAAAACCACCAGGCCATTCATTCAGGTATGACCCAAGTCAAATCCCTTATGATACAGTGGAGGTGATGAGAAGATTCAAGGGGTTAAATCTGGTAGGCAGAGTGCCTGAAGAACTATGGACAGAAGTTCCTAACAGTGTACAGGAGGCGGTGACCAGAGCCAACCCAAAGGAAAAGAAATGCAGGAAGGGAAACTGGTTGTCTGACGAAGCCCTAAAAACAGCCGAGGAGAAGAAAAGGAAAGGGAGAAAGGGAAAAATATGCCCTACTGAATACAGAGTTCCAGAGAATAGCAAGAAGAGGTAAGAAGGCCTTCTTAAATAAGCAATGCAAAGAAATACAGGAAAATGATAGAATGGAGACGACTAGGGAGCTCTTCAGGAACATTTCATAGAAGGATGAGCACAATAAAGGACAAAAATGGTAGGACCCAACAGAAGCAGAAGAGATTAACAACAGTTGGCAAGAATACACAGAAAACAGAAGGACAATACAAGAAACGTCGCAATGACCCAGGTAACCACAATGGTGCGGTCACTCACCTAGAGCTGGACATCCTAGAGTGTGAAGTCAACGGGGCCTTAGGAAGCATTCCTATGAACAAAGCTAGTAGCGATGACAAAATTCCAGCTGAGCAATTTAAAAATCCTAAAAGATGACGTTGTTAAAGCGCTGTACTCAGTATGTCAGCAAATTTGGAAAACTCGGCAGTGGTAACAAGACTGAAAAAGCTTTCATTACAATTGCAATTTCATTACAATTCCAAAGAAAGGCAATACCAAAGAATGTCCAAACTATTGTACAACTGAGTTTATTTCACATGCTGGCAAGGTTATGCTCAAAATCCGTCAAGCAAGGAGTCTGCAGTGTGTGAACAGAGAACTTCCAGATGTACAAGCTAGGTTTAGAAAAGGCAGAGCATCAGAGATCAAATTGTGACATCTGTTGGATCAGGGAGAAAGTAACAAGAGTTTTCCAGAAAAAACACCTACTTCAGCTTCATTTGACTTTGTGGATCATGACAAACTGTTGATAATTCTTAGAAATGGGAATACCAGATCTCCTTACCTGCCTCCTGAGAACCCTTTATGCGGGTCAAGAAGCAACAGTTAAAAGCAGACATGAAACAACTGACTGGCTCAAAATTACTCATTAAGGTTGTATATTGTCACCTGCTTATTCAGCTTATATGCAGATAACATCTGCAAAATGCTGAGCTGAATGAATCACAAGCTGGAATAAGGACTACCGGGAGAAATATCAACAACCTCAGACATGCAGACGATACCACTCTAATGGCAGAAAGTGAAGAGGAACTAAAAAGCCTCTTGACAAGGGAGGAGAATAAAAAAGCTGATTTGAAAATCAACATCAAAAAAACTAAGATCATAGCATTTGGTCCCATCACTTTATGGCAAATAGAAGGGGAAAAAGTGGAAGCAACAACAAATTTCATTTTCTTGGGCTTCAAAATCACTGCAAATGGTGAATGGAGCCATGAAATTAAGACACTTGCTCCTTGGAAGAAAGCTATGACAAACTAGACAGCATATTAAAATGCAGAGACGTCACTTGGCTGACAAAGATCTGCCTAGTCAAAGCTATGGTTTTTCCAGAAGTCATGTACGGATGTGAGAGGTGGACCATAAGGAAGGCTAAGTACTGAAGAACTGATGCATTCAAATTGTGGTGATGGAGAAGACTCTTGAAAGTCCACTGGACAGTAAGGAGATTAAACCAGTCAATTCTAAAGAAAATCAACCCTGAAAATTCATTGGAACGACTGAAGCTGCAGCATCCATGTGATGCAGAGATGACTCATTGGAAAGGAACCTGATCCTGGGAAAGATTCAAAGCAAAAGGAGAAGTCGGCGGCAGAAGATAAGATGGTTAGATAGCATCTCCAACTGAATGGACATGAATTTGAGCAAATTCTGGGAGATATGGGGCTTCCCTGGTGGCTCAGATGTTAAAGAATCCGCCTATAATGCAGGAAACCTGGGCTTGATCCCTGGGTCAGGAAGATCTCCTGGAGAAGGGAATGACTACCCACTCCAGTATTCTTGTCTGGAGAATTTCATGGACAGAGGAGCCTGGTGAGCTATAGTCCACGGGATCCACAAAGAGTCAGACACGATTTAGCGACTGAACCACAACAATCTTGTAGGTATATAGACCATTTGCTGAATGGTTGACTAAATGCAGGAATAACTATAGGAAAACAGGGAATTTGGGTTTTAAACAAGAAAGTGTAGCAATAAGAGTGATATTTTAACAGCATAAATTTGGCCATACTTAGGATTCAGGGCAGGTTTGATGCAGGAGAATCTTAAGGAAAAAATTTAGCAAGTTTTTGCTGCAATTCATGAATATTAGAAAAGTATATGATAGAAATATGATTAGAAAACAGTTGTTATGAATAGTTATCAGTGAGTTTTTACAAGTCATGACGTTAACTTGGTGACTGTTTGGATATTATCTAAAGAAAATTCAAAACTGCAACTCCTTGTGATATTTTGAAGATGATGATGCCACTGAAGAATATGAGGAAACTAAATGAAAAAGAGAGGGAAAGGGAAGGGGAAGGAGACAGAGACAGAGGGAGAAGGAGAAAGTGAAGGTGAGGAAGAGGAAAGACACTAAAAGATGTTAAATTTCATAAATGTTATTTTGTAATGATAAGCTTATCCACTGAAAATATCCATCAGGCAGCTAAAATAAGGAGTTGACGTGGACAGAATAGGAAAAATAGATTTTTGAAAGCTTTCTAATAAAGATGACAATTGAAGCTAGAAGTGATGAAATATATATGGAAAAGAATATTTAATGAAAAAGAAGAATAATAAAAAAGAATGATCATTAGGATCCAACAAAATTACAAAAAGAAAAATTTGGCAATTTTAACACATCCTTACCAAGTTGAACAACTAACTGCATCGAGTGTTTTGTTGCTGCTAAAAATCCAACTTGATATTATGCTTCATTTAACAAAAGCACTGTGCTCTGGGATTGGTGATACCATTACTTGGAAGACTACGTTTAGTACTGAACTCTACATATTAAGCAGAATAAAAAAAGCAGGAAACAGAGTAGAGGACAGTAAACAGAATGAAAATTAAACTATATAAATAATGCTGGAAAACTGGCATTAATTAACCTGATGAGCAGGCTAAAAGAACCCATGATCTTTATCCGCAAATATCTTAAGTACAATTTTATTAAGTAGAAGAGGGTACAGATTTGTTCCAGAGAGATGATCTTGGTCCACTAGAGTACAGAAATGAAAATTTTTAAACTCAAAACAAGAAGTAACATTTTAATGACTAAAGCTGTCCTAGTAGAACAGCCTGCCTGATGATGAGCTTTGTAATACTGAAAAAATGAAGCATGAGTGGTTCTCAAGAGTTATGCTAAAAAATTTAGGTTCATGGGCTCCACTGCTGATGGTTCTAATTCAATACATTTGGATGAGGGGTTGCTCATCTTTAATTCTCTTGAATTCTTTATTGAATTCTAATACACTGCTAGTTTTAAGCAACAGCATGCTACAAATATTTATGGAAAGCATACTACAATATAAGGCATGGTTTCTAAGCATGGTTTGGCATGATATATTAAGGAAAATATTTGATCATTATTGTTAAGAAACCTAAAATGTTATTGGTGAAACACATATGCACAAAACTAAAAGAAATTTAAAGCAGGCAGAGGCACCTTTCATGACCACAGACAAAAGGTACTTACATTAGTAACTGGTTCATTAATTATATCTGACGAGGTGATAATAAATCTGCTCATATGATTTGGTTAAGAAGTAGGATTAAATAAGGTTTTTCTAATCCCCATTCCAGAGATAAACTGAGGGCCAAAGGCTTGGCAAATATCCAATTGAAGGAAAGTAGTTGGAATGTAAAAGAAAAGTAATTGGAAAGTAGAAAGAAAAAAATCAGTACAGTGTACTGGGCAGACCATGGAAGAGGAAACCCAACTATTTTCTTTTTCTTTCTTTCATTTCTTTCTTTCCTTCCTTTTAAAGCAGCCTCGAGGTAATTCTCAGCTGTATATATACACTTACATGTGCATGTGCCAATAATCTAATGTTTTGGAGGATAAAAATTCCTGAGAACAGGTGAGGGGATTGTTTACTGTGATTCTTTTTTTCAGTATTAAGAATCCTTGCAAATTAAATGTGAATGGTGAAAGGGAATGACAGCATGTTTAAATATCTTTCAGGTTTCAGAGGTTTTAGGATATCAATGTAGGCAAGATGAAGCAAAATGAAAAAAAAGAGGCCAAGGGATTTTACATGATAAAGGGCTATTTTTAGTGACTCCTGGTAAAGCAGTTTGGGACCACCTTGAGGCTACTGGACAAACTTTAAAGGTTAAAGACAGAATGATAATGTGATAAACAGAGTAGGAATAGACTAGTTCTTTGGGTCTTTGGCAGTCAAAAAAAAGAGAAACAGGTAACATGTTTGGCTATACTGATATTTTGGAAGATAAAAATGTAGAAGATGCCTGTCCACATTAAACTTGAGACTGTTTATGAAACAATAAAATAAATATACTTGAAACAGGCAAAGCAACTTGGTAATTATGATAAAATTATCATAAAAAAATCTCAAAATACAGGAACAGACCTAAGCTACTTTGTTTCAGGTAACAACTCAAATAAATCTAAACTGATCATAGGAAACACTTTTGAGATTCTTTTATCAGAAAAAAGATACAAAAATTTTTTGGAAGATTTTACTTTAAATCACCATCTAAGTTAATTTATCAAAAAAATTGAGAAACTTTATGGAGCACTAACTCTTACTGCAAAGCATGGTTCTAGGTGTTGACAGGGAAAAAAGGTGAGTAAGGAAAAGGTGTGAGGAGACATACATGCAAACTATCCCAGGGTAATGGGAAAGATACCACAAATGGAAATAAAAGCAACAGACCTGAGGGGCCAATTTTTACTCTGAAGAACTGACAAAATCTTCAAAATGAGGGTGACATAATTTACATTTTAAACCCACGAGATTATCTAAAATTATTTCTTATTAACATGAAGAAGGAATTCATAGGGCCTGGACTCCATCTCAGGCCTGTCCGTGCTGATCGTGCTAGGCCGCCTCTCCCATGGACTCAGCTCTGTACTTAGAGCCTGTGGGAATGACAATGGAAGGATAAGACCCCCTCTGGGCAGGGGAATCTTGAAGATCACATCCAGGTTACTCATTGCCTAAGAGAAAACAGACACTAATCACCCCTGCCTCCGGACAGTATCTTTCGGAATGTAACCACAGGCTTATTGATTATTAACTGTTTGAACACATAACACGTGAATGATGGGGTTATTGTGATTGTATTTACCCTTCCTTTGTAAGCCTCAAGGGATTTGGGCTGGTGGGTTTGGACACATTGGGTATATAAGATTTTCACAAATGCTGGTCGGGGCCCTTGGCTAAGAGGAGACTCTGCCTTGGGCCCCCCGTGTAATAAACTGCACTCCACTATCTGCACTGTCCTTCTGAGTGAGTTTTTCCCGGAAAGCATGGCTATAGCAAACATATCCTCACCTGGGACTTCAGTTTCTCCCTTTCAGCAGCATCTTTTAGTTGTTGAATTCCAAATTTAATTTTTTGGATTTCTTGATTAATTGTGGTTACGCGCTCATAGACAGCACCTCTTTTTTCTTGAACTTTATTACAGTCTCTAAAGGAAAACAGAGATGGGTGAAATTATAATTCCACTTAAGCATTTAAACAGTCAAACATTTAACTCTAATTCTGATTCCAAAGAGATTATTTGTATCAATATTTGGCTGACACACCTACATCTCAAGATTTAAAAGCAAGCAGATGAGAATCACAAGGTGGTGCTATAATCAGGTCTTTGTGTGGAAGAGTAAGCTCTTCCACATAAAGCTGTTATTTAAAAATGAGATTTTTAAGTCACCTCTCCCAGCTGCACTCACTCATGACTGTTGGTGAGAGTGTGAATTAATAGAACTTTCTTGCAAGGCAAGTGACAAATTAAAACCCTCAGGTTCTGCCCTTTTTCTTCATCTGCATGAGGAAGAGGAAAGGAAATCTTCAGACCATCCTAATATACGTTTTAGAAACAGAAATAGTGTCATCTCATAGACATATCTGGGGCATTTATTCTAAAAACACTTTTTTAGAACTGATGGGAAAAAGATTCTACCAATGAAACATCCAAACATACTAGCCAGCAACCACGGTGACAAAATTCTTGCAAAGTACTACTTTGTACTTAAATAAAAAAGACTTTCTCAAAATATGCTATAATGCTATAGACTAGCTGAACAGTAACATGAACTAGTTGATTTATTCTAATACAACTCTAGATCGCTGGCTCTGAAATGCACAGAAATAAGCAATAGCACTAGAAACTTTCTAACGAATTATGCAAAGGATTTAGAATTGTGATTATCAGGAAAATAAATTAAAAAACTAATACCTAAAACATCTCTATACATTCAGATGTAGCAGCATCATGAGTCATAACTAACTGCTTTAGTCACCCAAAGGTGGAATACCTTTTTGAAATTAGAGGAGGTTTGGAATCTTAGGGAAAATAAAATGAATTAGGCTTTTCTAATACATTAAATTTAAAATAAGTTCATACTCAATCACTGTGCGTTTGTACTGCTTGACATCCTCATGCTTCTTATTTATTCTGAACTGTGCTGTGGCAAGTTTTTCCTTCTTCACAATCATCAGTCTTTTAAAGGAATTTTCTTCAGTCTTCAATTTCTTCAATTCTGACTCATCACTCTCAATTTGGTCCTCCAAGTTCAGGCTCTATATTTTACGAGATGTATTTGAAGTCAATACAACAAATTAGAATTTACAAACAAAATAAAGGACTGTCTTCGAGGATGAGGTGTAATAAAATACAATTTCAAAATGTGATAAAACTGTTTAAGCACTGACTCAACAAAAGAGACAACAGGAAGGCACAAGGGATACTAAGAAAGAATGTGACGCCTAGTGAGGTGTGTCATTTTATCAGCAAGGACCAGGACAGAGGAACATATCAAGATCAGCCAGCAGGCTAGGTTTAAGGGGGTGAGGGTCTGAATTAAAGGCGCAGGAATAAAGAGGAGAGGGGAGACCCTAAAGACAATCTCACCTTCCAACCCCTTCTTTCCTCAAAAGAGAAATCTTTCATCGAAATCTATGTTAGTGATCCTGGGGACAGTCTGGCTTGGGATGATGAAGTGAAAAGGATTTTCACGTTTCTAGCCTGAGAAACTTTAAAATATCTCTTTATATACCCTAGCTATAGTGTTAGGCAGTAAGTTGGCACTTTATGCTTACTGACTAGAAGATCATTTACAACTGTCAGAACAGGTTTAAAATTCCATTGCTTTTTCCCAAAATATACATGGCAATACGCTATGTTAATTAATTTATTATTCATTTTATCTGAAGGTAACAATGGGTCTACTACGGCTGTTTAGAAACACTACCGTTTTATCCCTGAGCATACATTGCCACGTCTATTATACTGTAGAATGGTCCTGCTTTGCTCTAAGAAGGTAGTCAACAGAAAGTAAAAGCAAACCCAAGGGACTATAGTAAACTACCACATAATAAAAAGGCATAAAAATTCCACACAATACAAACCTCCTTTAAGATAGTGGTTAATTTTTCTCTATTATCTGCAAGGTCCTGTATTTTCTTTTGATATAACTGCACTTCCAGCTGACATGAAGGCAGACAGTCAACAGAGTCTCGATAGATTTCATATTTTTCCATCACTTCTTGCTTTGAAAGAAAAAAAAACAAACACAGAAACCAGTTTGACACTCTCCTTTATGAAACTGCAATAATGTCAATTTGTTTGCTCTTAATTTCTGTACTTAATACTGAAAGCTTAAGAGCAAAGAACAATTAAAGTTTCTAGGTCAGTAACAAAGCACTATTGCTGACATGTGTCTTAGCACATATAATTAGGCTTCCTAATTGTTAAATATCCTTGAACAAAGGAAACATGCCATAATTTTACTAAATCACTCACTGAAGTACCTTCCAAAGGTTATTCGTAACGATTTTAAAAGAGTTCATTTCTGCTAATACTCAAACTACTCCCAATTACTCCTGGACAATTATATTACCAATTACAATCTTCCTATTCATTTGTATAACTATTACAAGTCATTTGTTCAAAAAGGTTAATTCTTCTTCTAAAGTTAGGAAATGAGCATATGTTTACCATAAGCACTGCAATAATACAAAGGCTTCTTTCTGAGTCTATCCCTTCTTCCCACTTTATTAACCAGTTAGATTTTGTCTTTAGTGAAACGCTTAATCATAGCACTGCTCATTTTTCCATTAAGCTGTCTTTTTCCTACTAATTTGTAAACACTCTTTTGTGTCTTTGAACATCATGGATATAATCCCTTTACCTATCATATGCATTATATATATGTTTCACAGGTCTACTTTTTTCTGCAGCTTTTGGGTTTTCAATCTTAATTTTAAAATTCTATCCAAGATATCAATGTTCACCTAAAACTGTTAAATTTTCAATCCAATTAGAATTTATCTTTGTAAATGGTACAAGGTATAGACCCAACTTGCTTTTTCCTTCTAGATGAACAGTCAATTGAACCAAAATTGCTTATTAAATAAATAGACCTCAAATACTTAGATCTATTTCTGGGCTCTCACTACTGTTCTATTAATCTTTGTCTATTCTCATGTGATAATTCTCAATTATCAGAAATGACTTAAATAAAAAATTCAGAAACTCTTTTTCAATTAATAGTTTTAAAACCTTTCCTCATCCAAAAGTCTACAAGCAATAATGCTGGAGAGGGTGTGGAGAAAAGGGAACCCTCTTACACTGTTGGTGGGCATGCAAACTAGTACAGCCACTATGGAGAACAGTGTGGAGATTCCTTAAAAAACTGGAAATAGAACTGCCATATGACCCAGCAATACCACTCCTGGGCATACACACCCAGGAAATCAGATCTGAAAGAGACACGTGTACCCCAATGTTCATCGCAGCACTGTTTATAATAGCCAGGACATGGAAGCAACCTAGATGCCCATCAGCAGACGAATGGATAAGGAAGCTGTGGTATAAATACACCATGGAATATTACTCAGCCATTAAAAAGAATTCATTTGAATCAGTTCTAATGAGGTGGATGAAACTGGAGCCCATTATACAGAGTGAAGTAAGCCAGAAAGATAAACACCAATGCAGTATACTAATGCATATATATGGAATTTAAAAAGATGGTAATGATAACCCTATATGCAAAACAGAAAAAGAGACACAGATGTACAGAACAGACTTTTAGACTCTGTGGGAGAAGGCGAGGGTGGGATGTTCTGAGAGAACAGCATTGAAACAAGTATACTATCAAGGGTGAAACAGATCACCAGCCCAGGTTGGATGCATGAGACAAGTGCTCAGGGCTGGTGCACTGGGAAGACCCAGAGGGATGGGATGGGGAGGGAGGCGGGAGCGGGGATCGGGATGGGGAACACATGTAAATCCATGGCTGATTCATGTCAATGTATGGCAAAAACCACTATAATATTGTAAAGTAATTAGCCTCCAACTAATAAAAACAAATGGAAAATAAATAAATAAATAAATAAATAAATAAATAAAAAGGAAAAAACAAAAAACAAATCACAGAAAACATTTGAATTCACCTATAATACTCCAGTGTGTATCTCTAACACAGAAAGGATGAAAATAAAATAAAACCACAGGAGCTAAAAAAAAAAAACAAAAAACAAAAAACCTTTCCTCATAAAGGATGCTAAATTGTCTACCCACTTCTACTTCTATCCCCTCCTAAATCTATCTCCCACTGTTAATTCATAATTTTTTTAAACATAAATCATACCATGTTCCAACATCCCCAACTCATAAATCAGCCAATGGTGCACTCCTACTCTTATGGTAAAATCCAGCATCCTGAAAAACCTGCCCGTTGCCTATTTTTCCATCATCATCTCATACCATTCTCCTTCTTATACATCATACTTTCTTCCTTGAATATAACTTCCTCCCTACTAGTTACCTCATACAATTGGCACATGCTGTTCCCTTTGTCTTGAATGCTCTTCAAAGCATAAATTTACTAAGATAACCTCTTCATCCTTCAGATGTAAGCATAAATTTTTACTTCCTTCCCATCTTTACCTCTAACTTTCACAATACTAAACTAGAGTACTCTCATTATGCTTTTTTGTACTCTCATTATGCTTTTTTGAAGCACCCTATGCTATTTAACTTCCCTGGTGGCTCAGATGGTAAAGCATCTGCCTACAATTCGGGAGACCCAGGTTCGATCCCTGGGTTAGGAAGATCCTCTGGAGAAGGAAATGGCAACCCACTCCAGTACTCTTGCCTGGAAAATCCCATGGATGGAGGAGCGTGGTAGGCTACAGTCCATGGGGTTGCAAAGAGTCAACGACTCAAGACACGACTGAGCAACTTCACATCACACGCTATTTTTTATTTATTTCTCTTTTTGGTGCTTAAAAAAAAAAACAACACCGTTTTTAGAGCAGTTTTAGGTACACTGCAAAATTAAGCAGAAGGTACAGAATTCCCATATACTTCCTGCCTCCATACATGCATATCCTATACTTTTTCATAGTATATAATTTAAAATTATATAACTGATTATAAAATTAACACCATTCTCCCTTAAGATATAGTGACTAAGTCTTATGAGGACAAATCACTTCTGTTTTTGATCACCCAGGGCAAAAAAAATTTGTTGCATAATTAAAAAAATGTCTTGAAATTATACTTCTTTTCTTATATCCACTTTAGAGAAGAGCTAAAAATTAGAGACAAGGGCAAAAAGTCTAAGAGGGAGAGATGTACAGATAATTTGGAAATTAGAAAATTAACACATGATTAAACAAGAGTTACTAAAAAATAAAAGAGGGACAGAAGAGCATTAAAATAAAAAGAAAACTCACTCTGGAATTTTTAAGCTTCTGGACTGTATCTTTCATTTTTTCTTTATAATTCTTAACTTTCTCTGGAGAATCCACAATTTTTGTTTTCAAATTCTCTTGTATTTCTTTCAAAGAAACCACTGACAATTTTAGTTCATTCTGTTGAAAAAACATTTAAATATATTAGATATAATAATAAAACTAGTGATTTGCCACTATAATAATGAAAAAGAAAAAAGAAATCGGATCTGATTTTGTTGTAGTCAGAACAACATACTAAATTCTAACCGTATCACTTTCCGGCTTGACCACTCACATTTGTCTACAAACCAAAGGTCAGGCTCCCTTGTACATCATGGAGCTCTTACTCTCCTCTCCGGTGTCATCTTCCACCAGCTTCCTGCTATGCCCTACAACCCGGTAACTCCAGTCTGCCTTATGTCTGGACAACTACAAGTGATCTCTTTCTATCTCAGAACACTACCATCCAATTCCTGTACTGAAAATGAATCTCCATTAACCTCTGAGAATCCTCTTCCTACCTACTCTGTATTTTTCCTATAAACAGTATAATCATGTACATGATAATCATAATTATGTATTTAATATGTGTTTCTGAATTAACTGAGCAACCTGGGGTTGTGAACAGTTATTTTTGCTTTCCCACAACCCAAAGAAAGTAATAGCACTGAGAAGGTACTCAGTATATGGTTATTGAACTAAAACAAATTTCCTCCTGAATTTTAGACTATCAGGGGAACTGAAGTCTCTGAGAACTCTCTTACATAACACAAATTCAGTCCTATGAAAATAGAACAAGACAGCAACAAATAAGTATATGCATCTATACATGTGCATGTAATAGCACAGAAAAAGGACTGGTAAGGTATAACCTCTAGGGAAGGTTGGCTGAGAGAAGAGGGTCTTTCATGTGTCTCTCTCTCTCTCTAAATATATATATATATATTTACAACAGGAATGTATCACTTGTATAATTTGTCTAAATTATTTTTAACTAAAATTTTTTTAAAAAGTTCTTACTTTTTCATCAACTAACTCAGAAGCCAAAACTCAATGTTTGAAACAATGTATTTGTCATTTTATTATTAGAATTTAGTGTACCACCACGTTATCTACTCTTTTAATACCTTATGAAATTAAAGATCATTTTCCTTACATTGGTACTGACTCTTTATCACTTTTAGTCCCTTCACAAAGACTCTAAAATTTGATATTATATATCACTACAAAGTGATTTTATTTTAATATAGATTTAAATGGGACAGAGAAATGAATAAAATTGAACCATAATCAATACTACTCTGATCAAAACATCTGGCAATAAAAAGAGTAATAAAAAAATAAGGAATATATTATACTAAAGTAAATTTCAGATAGTTATAAAATATAAATATCAAATTAATAGGGAAATCATAAAAGTACAATGGGAAAATATGGGAAAAAATGAGGAATGAGATAGGCCTTTCTATACAAAGAATTAAACCCAAATGTAGAAGGCTATGTCTATCAATTTTACTACATAAAAACATGAACCTTCTAATAGGAAAAAATGATGAATTTGAAAGACAAATAGAGTTAAAACCCCTAACTCATGGAGGTTTAAAAAAAAAAATGAAATTAAAAAGGAACATAAACAGGTAATTCACAAAGTAAGAAATAATAACAAACCTCTGAATAAGGTGGTCTAAATCACTGAAAATCAAAAAAAATCAAAATGAAGATGAGACATTTATTCCTCTATAAGAATGACACAGATTAAAAAGGAAAAAAAACATAAAAATATCCAATTTTGACAACACTGCAGAGAAAGGAATACTCTCATATTCTATACTGATATCTTTTTAGAAGTCAGTTTGGCAACATGGGCCAAATTTAAGTTTAATTCTCTTTAGCCCTAAAACCCTACATTTAGGAATCTACTAAGAAAAAAAGCAGCCTGGTGGGCAAATATAGATGTACATGTATAGGTGTGTAGCACACATATGCTATTGTTCAATAGCAAAAAAATTAGAAGCAATGTGAATGTCTATCAGTAGGACACAGGATCGACATTAAGGTGCAGTTATCAAAATAATGGAGATCTATATAGACATGATAACTATACTATAAAGTGAAGAAAAGCAGGTTTGAGTCACATAGAGTATAATATCATTTATGTAAAATTACACATATATATGTATATTTGCTTAGAGAAAAGTAATCTGTGACATGTATCTGATTGTGTGGTGAATTTGTAGGTGATTTTCACTTTTGTCATATATTTCTGTGTTTCTGTATTTTTTACAACAATAGCCATCTATTCTATTGGAAAAAGTTAAATTAGCTTCACTTAAAGGGAAGAAAGAAAGAAACATTTAATAATAACGCACAGTTAAAATACTCCTACACACAAGAGTCAAACCTTAAATGCTAGTTAAATGAAAAGATGCTTACCAAACGCTTGGTTTTCTCTGAAATATCTGACTTCTTTTGTGAATTTCCCTCTTGCAACACTATCTAGGGAAGAAAATAAACAACTATTTTACAGTGATTCAAACAGATTTAAATTTAGTCAATGCTTTTTCACAAAATAGAAGTCAGAAAGTAGAGGAATTAAACAGATTAGACCAGATATTCTCAAACTTTCTCTGTTCATTATGACCCTAAGGCCAAAATAAACCCCTAACAGATCCTTTATTGGGTCATTAAATTCAAATAACTGAGTATTCATGCCCTAACAACTTAGTAGCCCCTTGAAAAAGTAACATGCAAATTGAAAGAAAAATACTATTTTTATGTTATTCTTAAACAGCTACAACTACTTCCAAATTGGATGGGAATGGGTATATTGTAAAAACTAAGTACTGTACACATCTTAGAATCATGAGTCACTGGCAATTTTCATTTTCTGTTGCATGATAATATTCACACAGCACTTGGCTTTTTATTATGCCAAAAGCCAAAAATCCAGGTTCAAAAGATATGAAAGGAAGGTAACATGAGTTCACGTTGAAACTGTGAAGTACCTTGAGCTAGATATTCCAGCAGTGTATGACAGATGCTGAATGCTGTTTTCCTTTAAAATTTAAAATATCCTGAAGCACCCTCGCGGGCTTGCTGTAGCACCCAGGGTGCCTCATTGTATAATTTAGAAACATCAGGATTAGATATAGAAGAAAACCTTAACTCTAGTCAACAACATCACATACACCTTTGATACCATCAATAATCAGTTATTAAAATTCTGTTGACCTGAACAGAAATATATATTCATTATAAGGTGAACAAATGGATGCAGCAATATATCCTATTTGTTTAGTAATTGAAAGTAATGTGCTGTTAGCCCCTCCACATCACATATACAAAAAACTTTTGAAAAAGATCTAAGGTGTCTAACAATAGACACCATTTTTATTTATTTATTTTATTTTTATATATGTAAATATATAAGAATATATATTTATTATTATTTATTTAATTGGAAGACAATTACTTTACAATATTGTGATGTTTTTTGCCGTACACCAGTATGAATCGGCCACAGGTATACGTGTGCCCCTCCAGCCTGAACACTCCTCTCATTTCCCTCTCCACCCCATCCCTCCAAGTCGGATACCCGGGCACCGGCCTTGGGTGCCCTGCTTAGATACCGTTTTTTGACGAAACTCTTGATTCAGCGATTGCTGCAGCTCCTGAATATCATCTGAAAGCTGCTTGAACTCTGCCTGCTCTTCAACTGGGACAGAACTGAACACAGCAAAATAAGTTAAAATAAGATGTATAAAGTTCTTAACCTTGCAAGTCCAAAAAAGGTCTCTGCTCTTCAACAACTTAAATGAAAAAAACTGTCTGCTTTCATGTTTCTCAATTCTCATCCTTCCACATGACAGTAATTTAAAATCCTTGGCCTGGACTCTACCACCCAGCAAAAATAAAAGTCAGATGAGCTCTTTAAATCCCTGCCACCAATCTATGCATGGTCTCATCTGCATACACATCTGCCCTCACTCCACTCCTCACTTCAGTGCTGATCCCATCTTTCGCGTGCTCTCACTTCCTCACACCTCTCTACTGTATCATCCACTTGTTTTGCTCCACAAATCCTTCCTAAGAGCACTTTCACATGTTCTAGTCTCTTCCATATGAATGCTCTCAACTTTAGTTTTTGATATGTGGTAGAGAATTGTTACTTTAATTTTCCATTTCCTGACTGCTATTGAGTTTAATGATTTTTACGTATTTTTAATGGTATTTGCACTTAATCCTCTGTAAATTCCTTGCCCATTTTTAAAATTATTTTTTCCCATCAGTTTGTAGTTCTTTGTATTTTAGGAATACTACATGGGCATCATTAGAGATTGAAACACTTTGCTGCAAATGTTGCAAATTTCACTTCCAGTTTGCCATTTCTCTTTTGACTTGGTTTATCATAAATTTTGTTGTTGTTCAGTCATTAAGTCGTGTCCAACTCTTTGAGACCCCCTGGACTGTAGAAAGCCAGGCTCCTCTGTTCTCTACTGTCTCTCAGAGTTTGCTCAAATTCACATCCATTGAGTCCGTGATGCTAACCATCTCATTCTCTACCATCCCCTTCTTCTTTTGCCTTCAATCTTGCCCAGCATCAGAGTCTTCCAATGAGTTGACTCTTTGCATCATATGACCAAAGTGTTGGAACTTCAGCTTCAGTCATTCCAATGAATATTTGGGGTTGATTTCCTTTAAGATTGACTCATTTGATCTCTTTGCAGTCCAAAGAACTCTTAAAAGTCTTCTCTAGCACCATAATTTGAAAGCATCAATTCTTCGGTGCTCAGCCTTCTTTACGGCCCAACTCTCACATTCATACATGACCACTGGAAAAAACATAGCTTTGACTTTATGAACATTTCTCGGCAAAGTGATGTCTCTGCTTTTTAATACTCTGTCTAGTTTGTCACAGCTTTCCTTCTAAGGAACAAACATCTTTTAATTTCATGGCTGCAGTCAACATCCACAGTGATTTTGGAGCCCAAGAAAATAAAGTCTGTCATTGCTTCCACTTTTCCCCTTCTATGTGAAATGAAGTGATGGGGTCAGATGCCATGATCTGCTTTGAATGTTGAGTTTTAAGCCAGCTTTTTCACTCTCCCCTTTCACAACTGTCAATAGGCTCCTTAGTTCTTCACTTTCGGCCGTTATAGTGGTATTATCTGCATACTTGAGGCTGTCGATATTCGAACACTGTGCAAACTTGCCATCTTAAATTGTACTATCTGCCTCCTACTCCCAATCTTTTCAGTTTACTGCTGTCTCTAAAGGCAGTTTATGCCAGAGCAGGCTGAAAACAAAGTTTTTAACTGAGACAGAAAAACCCAAAACATCAACATATTAGAAGGCATAAAAAAATCCTTTTGTTCAAAATCAATATACATAAAGCCAAGAAATTATAACCCTTAAGTGATTTCTTCTCTTATCTGACCTTTAAGTCAAAACAAAACAAACCAAACAATAAACCTCAGCTGAAGGAATAAAAATTTTAAAGAATTAACTGATCTGAAGGAGAAAGACAGTCCTGTCAGTTACTGCTTACTACATAAGATAAATACCACTAGATATAATTTAGGAGCATAAGTTAATGGCTCTAAACATGTCTGGCTAATGTGTTAACAATAAAAAAAGAAAAGAATATACTATGTGTATATTAAGAGTTAAAAGAAGCAAACGCTAGCTTTCCTTCTTGAAAAAAGGTCAGCTTAAATACTCTATTTAGTAAGGAAGATAAAAGAGATGAAGTGGACTGTAGATTGTAAAATACTCTTTACCTTCATTTTGCACTTTGAAATTGCATTTATTTTATTTGTAAATTTCCTACTTACTCAAGTCTCTCCAATTTCATTAATGCCTCCTGGTGTGCAGTATTTAACTGCTGCATTTTGTCCACAGAAGATTTCTATTAAAGCAATTTTAACAGTTTAATATTAGCATTTTTCGACATCAATCAGTGATGTGTTTAAAAATATCCAGTACTCGCACACTCTACAACTTTCACCATGAGAATTAAGAAATTTAAGAAAGAATTAGGTACCTATGACAAATGAGTTAGGAATTTCTTTACTTATTCAACATACAAACGTTGAGTTCTTAACACAATTAATCATGGCGCTAGGTACCAGGAATAACTCCCAAGAAGACTAACTAGTAGTTCCTGGACTTAGATAGTTCAGTCTTTTTAACGAGTCAGAAAAATAAATATAAAACTATACAACTTTTCATAAGCCTGAATATAATGACATTCAACTCAACTTGGGTAATGTCTGAGAAGAAGTATCACAGAGGGTTCATAGAAATGATAGAAGTCTGAGCCATATCTTTAAAAAAATGAGAAATTAGCCAAGCAAAATTGTGTGTTAGTATGTGTTGGCACACACATCTGTACGCTTTGGAGAGTATTTGATGTTTAAGTGGTATAGAATGATCATGATTTGTACAAGGAAATATTTATCTATGTAGCTCAGTTGTTCAAGTACTAATTCTCTGATGTTACCCAAGTGCTTTTCTAAAAGTACAGTACCCCAAACTGAGGGCAGATGGGAACAAATCACACAGATGACCCAAAATCTTTCCAAATTCTCTAAATTGTTGGTAAAAGGAATTTAAAGTGATTTACTTGATTCTTATAATGCAATGCTGAGCAAGCAGATGAACACCTAATTAGGCCATTATTTAGAAAGCAAATATAAACTTCAAATTTCTCAATTATTTAAAGAACATTACACTATCTATTAAACTCTAAAGAAAAAGAATTTGATTATCACTACTGTCTTCCCCCTCCATTTTCTAATAAAGGAAAAGGAGTCTCTGGTACAAAATTAGAATAAAAAACCTAGCCTCTCCCTAATGATACCAAATAGAAAAGAAAATCTCATTCTGAGATAACCTTACTAAATTTGAAATTTCATATAAATATGTAAATTTGATTCTAATGGCCATAAAAAATTTAGTTATCGTGACAACCATTTCAAGACATATTATTGGTGCATAAATGATGTTACTGATCTGGTATATGACCCCCAAAATACATTTGAATCTTACATATTGCCAAAGAAATTCCATATATGTCTCACGGCATGCTTCTCGGAAGTGAATAAAGTTGATAATGCCGCTTAAAAACCGAGTTGTCCGTTTTGCCTCTAAAAATAGAAAGCAAGCCTTCTTAAATAAATCTTTGAAACAATAAAAGTGAAAATTTATCTTCTTCCCCCATAAATTCTGCTTATAGTATACAGAACAAAAATATCTGTATGCTAATTAACCAAAGTACAGAATATCTGCTCTAACTTAATGATCACAATTATCTTTTTTTAAAATTTATTTATTTATTTTCAAAGTTGCAACCATAATTTTTTTTTCCATTTATTTTTATTAGTTGGAGGCTAATTACTTTACATCATTGCAGTGGTTTTTGTCATACATTGAAATGATCACAATTATCTTAATTAAAAAAAAAAAAAAAACCCAAAAACAAAAAGCAATTTTGGCCATGACAAAACAGAGACCAGATATACTATCCCATCCTAAACAACCAGAAAACCAGATAAAAAATATAAAATAACAAGTTGTAGACACCGAACTATAAGTATTATATGATAGCAATTTCCAAGAAAGGTAAATGAGGTGAACCCTACTAATGCTCTAGCCTACCACTTGAGTGAATTTTCAGGCTGTATCCTGGGGGAGATCACAAACAGAACTCTTGAGTTTTGCTGAGACATGAAGAGAGAATTTAGAGTTTGGAGAGAACAAAAATATTAGGATTTTTAGAGTTTAAAGAGGCCAAGGAAGCTAGAATATATAAAAACTCTATCTTCTTGACTCAGCCTTCATAAATATAGTCTATAAATACATTCTGTTGGTTCAGGAAGGTTCAGAAAAGCAATAGCATTATAAGGACAGAAAGGAGAGACCCAAATCAAACTTTTACAGCTGAAAAATAAAATATCTGAAATGAAAAATACACTAGATAGGATTAACAGATTATATCTATAGATGAAAGGATTAATGAAACCGAAAACAGCAATAAAAGCTATCTAAAATAAAAGCCAGAGAGAAAAAAACGAACAGAATATTTAGGAACTTAAGGACAATATCAAGCAGCATAATAAATGTGAGCCCTACAAAAAGGAACGGTAGAAAAAACTTTTATAGAATAGCTAAATATTTTCCAAATTTGACAGAAACATGAAACATAACCAGGCTTCCCTGGCGGCTCAGACGGTAAAGAATCTGCCTGCAATGCAGGAGACGTGGGTTCAATCCCTGGGTCGGGAAGAGCCCCTGGAGGAGGAAACGGCAACCCACTCCACTACTCCTGCCTGGAGAACCCCATGGACAGAGGAGCCTGGGGGCTACAGTCCATGGCGTCACAGAGTGGGACACGATGGAGTGACTCACACACACACACACACATATCCAAGGAACTATAAACATATCTAAGGAAGGGGACAAAAACAAAAGCTTCAAAGGAAAACTTATGATAAAGAGAAAGTCTTATTAAAAACTGCCAGACATGAGGAGACTCAAGAGAGAATAACTCCAGGCTCAGTAAGCGATTAGTTTGGATTATTAACTTTCATGAAGAAACAGCTGGTCACACCTTGGACTCACATGACACAGGGAATTGGAGCTGAGGTCCCTATAAGATGTGGGACTCTAGAAAGGTTATATCCTTAGTGAGATGGTAGATTAAGGGGAAAAAAATGCAGGGAAATGACAAAGTTAGTAGTGTTTCTGCATCGTCTCTGTGAGGAAATAATCTCCTCTGAGAACTCTAAATCTTGGACTCATTGCCATAAGGATTTTTATTTTAAACTATATATTTGATCTAAGAACTATCAAAATTAGGCATTTATATAAAAAGTGGTCTTTGACCAATGATAATCCTGAAATAACTTTCAAAAACAAAAGGTATCTCAGAAGGGATGTGGCCTCAATTCCCGAAGCCAAAGAGTCACAGGACTACTCTGTTGAAGATAAAATTTAAATTCATAATCACAAATGCATGTGTGTGTGTATGTCAAGTACAGGCAGGATGTACAGGAATTGAAACTACCACACAAACATCTATAATAATGCCATGGGATGCAACAAAATCAAGGCTAGAGGGAAATTTATAGCACCAAACATCTATGTTAGGAAAGAAGAAAGGTCTCAATAGGTGGCCTCAGCTTCTATCTTTAAAAGACTAGGAGGAAAAAAAAAGAAAAGCAAACCCAAAGTAAGCATGAAAAAAGAAGGAATAACAATGAGCACAAAAACCAATTAGACAAAAAACAGAAATAAAATACCTAAAAACTAGTGAGACAAAAAGCTGGTTCTTTCAAAAGATCAGCAAAATTGATAAACCTCTAGCCAGATTGATCAGGGAGAAGTAAATGAATGAAGAAACAAATAACTAATGTCAAAATGAGAGAGGGGACATCACTACTGACCTCAAAAACATCACTACTGACCTCAATGATACAGGAAAAATATGAGCAACTTTATGTTAATAAATCTGCCCATTTAAAGTAAATAGATAAACTCTCTGAAAAGGTAACCTACAAAAGCTCAACTTAGTAGCTCTAGAAATAACCAGCATAATCCTTTATTTATTGGAAAAAATAAATTAATAATTCACACCTTCCCACAGAGAAAACTCCAATCCCAGATGGATTCACTGGTGAATTCTATCGAACATTTAATAAAGAAATAATACAAGTTTTACATTAACAATTTCTGAAAATAAAAGAGGGAATCTCTCTAAACTCATCCTGAAAGGCCAGCAATATTTTGATATCCAAATTTGTCACTGCAGTAGCATTAGAAAACAAAAAAATACAGACCAATAGCTCTCATGAACATGATAACAAAAACACTACAAAATATTAGCAAATCTAATTCAGCAATATGTTAAAAAAAAAAACTACATCATAACCAAATGGGATTCATCCTGAATACAAAGTTGACTTAACATTCAAAAATCAAACAATGTAATCCACTATTCTGAAGAAGAGAAAGCACATGATTTTCTCACCAGATGCAGAGAAGAAATTTAACAAAAGTGAACACCCACTCATGATACAAAATACAAAGAGAAGTTGCTTACCCTAATAAACGCCATCTAAGAAAATCCTGTAACTAACATACTTCCTGATAAAAGCCTAAATGCTTTCCCCTGAAGAATAGGAATAACACAATGATGCATACTCTCAACATTTTATTCAACATTATGCTAGAAGTCCTAGCCACTGCAGAAGGAAAGAAAAATAAGTAAAGTACATCTAGATTGGAAAGATGTAAAACTGTCTTTGTTCTCAAACAACAGGACTGCCAGTGTAGAAAACCCTAAGGAATCTATTCTAAAAATCTATTAAAAATAAGGTCACTATATAAAAAACAATTTTCTCTCTACACTAGTAATGTCCAATCAATTCAAAATTTGAACTGAAACATACAACATCACTTACAAATAAATTTAACGAAATGTATATGACCTGTACTCTGAAAATTATAAAACACAGTCATAAAAAACTAAAGACAACCTAAATAAATAGAGGTATAAACACTTGGATCACAAGACCTAATATTATCAAGTTGTCTCAATTATCCACCAAATGAACTATATATTCAAAGTAATCTCAGTCAAAATTCCAGGAGATTATGGAGAGTAGAGGGGCACAAAAGTGACAGGCTAATTCTAAAATTTACATGAAAATACAAAAGACCAGAACAACTAAAACAATTATGAAATAGAGAACAAAGTTGGAGAACTTAAACACTGCCTGATTTCAAGACTATAAAGGCTAAAGTAATCAAAGACAAACATAGATCTATGGAGCAAAGACTGAAGCCAGAAATATATATATTAACTGACTTTTTAACGCAGAATTTTTAGAGCACTTTAGGTTCACAGAAAAATTAAGCAGAAAGTAGAGTGTCCATGTATTCTATGTCCTGATACAGACTACTCCGCTATCAACATCCCCCACCTGAGTGGTACATTTGTGACAAAAGATGAACCTACACTGACATGTCATTATTAGTCAAAGTCCATAGTTCACATTAGAATTCACTCTTGGAATTTACGTAAAAATCCGGACATTCTACAGATTTTGACAAAGGTATAATGACACAAATATAATACTGTATAACTACAGTATTATACAGGATAGTTTCACTGCTGTAAAAAATCCTCTCTGCCCTGGTTATCCATTCTTTCTCCCCCCGCAGTCCCTGGCAAACAGTGATCTTTTTATTTTTACTATCTTCATAGTTTTTGCCTTTTTCAGATTGTCATAATCGTAATAGTACTGGAAATAGCATTTGCAGACTGACTTCTTACATTTAGTGATATGCATCTAAGATTCCTGATGTCTTTTTATTGCTTCATAACTCATTTCTTCATAGCACTAAGCAATATTCCCCTGGCTTGTACTAGTTTATTCATTCACCTACTGAAGGATGTCTTGCTTGCTTCTAGGTTTTGACAATTATGAATAAAGCTGCAAAAAGATGTCAGCAGGTTTTTGTGTGGACATGAGCTTTCTAGATGTTTGGATAAATAGCAAGGCACATGACTACTGGGTCACACAGTAGGGGTACACTTAGCTTTGTGAGAAACTGACAACTGTTTCCCAAGGCTACTTTGCAATTTTGCATTCCCACAATCGAGAAATGAAAGTTCCTGCTGCTCCATATCCTTCCTCATCAGCATTTGGTATGGTCAGTGGTTCAGATTTCTGCCGTCCTAATAGATGTGCAGAATGTACACTTTTGACAAATGTGCCAGGGTAGTTCAATGGCAAAAGGATAATGAGTGGTGCTAGAATACTTTGATAATCATATGCATAAAGGAAAAAAAGTGAACCTTGCCCTTAGCCTCACATGATATACAAAAATTCATGCATTAAATAATAAAGGCTGAAACTATAATATGCTTACAGCAAAATAAAGGAGTAAAATTTAGCCAAATAAATACTTGAGGCCAAGATTTTCTGACAGAATACAAAAAATAGTTTTATGAATGACAAAAGAAAAATCAATTAGAATATCAATTAGAATATTCAAATTATTAGAATATTCAAAACTCAAATATATTTTGCTTTTGAAAAGACATGGTTATGAAACTGAAAAAGCAAGTAACAGACCAAGGGAAAAATCTGCATAACACGTATCTGATAAACTACTTGTTTCCAAAATATCTGAAGAAACCTTCCAACTCAATCATAAGACAAACAATTCAATTTTTAAAAAGTAGCTAAAGGATTCAAATAGATACTTCACCAAAGATATACGGATAGCAAATAAGCATATGAAAATTTACTCATTATTATCTAGCCATGAAGGAGACGTGAACTGAAACCATGAAACATAACTGGACAGTCTTTACGTGCATGAGGGCTCAGTCATGTCCCACTTTTTGTGATCCATGTACTGTAGCCTGCCATGCTTCTTTGTCCATGGAATTTTCCAGGCAAGGATACTAGAGTGGGTTGTCATTTCCTACTCCATGTGATCTTCCCCGACCCAGGGATCAAACCTATATCTCTTGTATCTCCTGCATTAGCAGGTGGATTCTACACTACTGTGCCCAGAGACAGCCTTTAGCATGTCAAATTAACAACCTACAGAATCAAGTACAAGGAGGATGTAGAGGAACTGAAACTATCACATATTGCCAATGAAATTCACTAGAGCTTTACGATACAGCCACTTAGAAGAACAGTTTGGCAGTTTCTTGAAAAGGTTAAGCATGTGCTTATTATGTAAACCAGCATTTCCACTTTTAGCATTTATCCCATCTGAACACAGAATTCCAAAGAATAGCAAGGAGATCACTTCCTCAGTGATCAATGCAAAGAAATAGAGGAAAACAATAGACTAGAAAAGATTAGAGATCTCTTCAAGAATATTAGAGATACCAAGGGAACATTTCATCAAAGATGGGCTCAATAAAAGACAGAAATGGTATGGACCTAACAGAAGCAGAAGATATTAAGAAGAGGTGGCAGAATACACAGAAGAACTTTACAAAAAAGATCTTTACAACCCAGATAATCATGATGGAATGATCACTCACCTAGAGCCAGACATTCTGGAATGCAAAGTCAAGTGGACCGTAGGAGGCATCACTATGAACAAAGCTAGTGGAGGTGATGGAATTCCAGTTGAGCTATTTCAAGCCCTAAATGATGATGCTGTGAAACTGCTGCACTCAATATGCCAGCAAATTTGGAAAACTCAGCAGTGGCCACAGGACTGGAAAAGGTCAGTTTTCATTCTAATCCCAAAGAAAGGCAATGTCAAAGAATGCTCAAATTACTGCACAATTGCACTCATCTCACACGCTAGTAAAGTAATACTCAAAATTGTCTCCAAGCCAGGCTTCAACAGTATGTGAACCGTGAACTTCCAGCTGGTTTTAGAAAAGGCAGAGGAACCAGAGATCAAATTGCCAACATCCGCTGGATCATCCAAAAAGCAAGAGAGTTCCAGAAAAACATCTATTTCTGCTTTAGTAACTATACCAAAGTATTTGACTGTGTGTATCACTACAAACTGTGGAGAATTCTTAAAGAGATGGGAATACCAGACAACCTGAACTACTACTTGACAAATGTGTATGCAGATCCGGAAGCAATAGTTAGAACCGGAAATGGAACAACAGACTGCTTCCAAATAGAGAAAGGAGTATGCCAAGGCTGCATATTGTCAACCTGCTTATTTAACTTATATGCAGAGTACATCATGAGAAACGAGGGACTGGATGAAGCACAAGCTGGAATCAAGATTGCTGAGAGTAATATCAATAACCTCAGATATGCAGATGACACCACCCTTATGGCAGAAAGCAAAGAAGAACTAAAGAGCCTCTTGACGAAAGTGAAAGAAGAGTGAAAAAGTTGGCTTAAAGCTCAGCATTCAGAAAACTAAGATCATGGCATCTGGTCCTATCATTTCATGGCAAATAGATGGGGAAACAGTGGAAACAGTGACAGACTTTATTTTGGGGGGCTCCAAAATCACTGTAGATGGTGACTGAAGCCATGAAATTAAAAGATGCTTGCTCCTTGGAAGAAAAGTTATGACCAACCTAGACAGCATGTTAAAAAGCAGAGACATAACTTTGCCAATAAAGGTCTGTCTAGTCAAGGCTATGGTTTTTCCAGTAGTCATGTATGGATGTGAGAGTTGGACTATAAAGAAAGCTGAGCACTGAAGAATTGATGCTTTTGAACTGTGGTGTTGGAGAAGACTCTTGAGAGTCCCTTGGACTGCAAGAGATCCAACCAGTCCATCCTAAAGGAAATCAGTCCTGAATATTCATTGGAAGGACTGATGCTGAAACTGAAACTCCAATACTTTGGCCAGCTGATGCAAAGAGCTGACTCATTTGAAAATACCCTGATGCTAGAAAAGACTGGAAGGTGGGAGGAGAAGGGTACAACAGAGGATGAGATGGTTGGATGGCATCACTGACTCAATGGACCTGAGTTTGAGTAAACTCTGGGAGTTGGTAATGGACAGGGAGGCCTGGCGTGTTGTAGTTCATGGGGTCGCAAAGAGTTAGACACGACTGAGTGACTGAAATGAACTGACCTGAAAACCTTTGACTGTGTATTTCACAACAAACTGTGGAGAATTCTTAAAGAGATGGGAGTACCAGACCTTACCTGCCTCCTGAGAAACCTGTATGCAGGTCAAAAAGCAACAGTTAGAACCAAACATGAAACAACAGACTAGTTCAAAATTGTGAAAGGAGTACGTCAAGGCTGTATTTGTTGCCCTGCTTATTTAACTTATATGCAGAGTACATCATGTGAAATGCCGAGCTGGATGAAGCACAGCTGGAATGAAGATTGCCAAGAGAAATATCAATAACCTCAGATATGCAGATGACACCACTCTTACGGCAGAAAGTGAAGAGGAACTAAAGAGTCTCTTGATGAAAGTGAAAGAGGAGAGTGAAAAGCTGGCTTACAAAAACCCAAGATCATTGCATTCGATCCCATTGCTTCATGGCAAATAGATGGGGAAAGAATGGAAACAGTGACAGGCTTTATTTTCTTGGGCTCCAAAATAACTGCAGATGGTGACTGCAGCCACAAAATTAAAAGACACTTGCTCCTTGGAAGAAAAGCTTTGACCAACCTAGACGGTATATTAAAAATTAGAGAAAACATTTTGCCAACAATGATCTATATAGTCAAAGCTATGGTCTTCCCAGTAGTCATGTATGGATGTAAGAGTTGGACCATAAAGAAGGCTGAACACTGAAGAATTGATGCTTTTGAACTGTGGTGTTGGAGAAGACTCTTGAGAGTCCCTTGGACTGCAAGGAGATCCAACCAGTCAATCCTAAAGGAAATCAGTCCTAACTATTCATTGGAAGGACTGATGCTGAACTGAAGCTCCAATACTTTGGCCACCTGATGTGAAAAGTTGATTCATTAGAAAAGACCCTGATGCTGGGAAAGATTGAAAGCAGGAAGCAAAGGGGACGACAGAGGGCAAGATGGTTGGATGGCATCACTGACTCCATGGACATGAGTCTGAGCAAGCTCTGGGAGATGGTGAAGGACAGGGAAGACTAGTGTGCTGCAGTCTGTGGGGTCGCAAAGAGTCAGACAAGACTGAGCAACTGAACAGCAACCTTTACCCACAGAAATGAAAATATGTGCATACAAAGATTTGTTCCCTAATGTTCACAGCAACTTTATACACAATGGCCAAAACTGGAAGCAATTCAAATGTCTTACCAACTGGACAATGGATAAATAAACTGTATACTTATGATAGACTGCTACTCTCAAATAAAAGGACAAAGTACTAATAAATACAATAACGTGGACAAATCTCAAAAGCCTTATGCTAAATTAAAGAAGCCAGATACAAAAGACTATAGACTATGTGATTTCAATTACATGAGGTTCTGAAAAATCAAAATATTATAGTGGTAAAAAGCAGATTAATGCTTGCAGGTTAAATGCATGACCAAAGAAACCTGACTGCAAAGGGATGTAAGGGGACTGTGAGGGATCGTGACTGTGGTAGTGGTTCTATGACTACACACACTCCTTAAGGTTTATTCAGTCATGCATTTAAAATTAGTCAGTTTTTTATTTTGTATAATTTATATGCCAATAAACAACAAAAAAAGTAGGAGATCTAAAATGGGATAAAAAATAAATTTTTATATAGTTACACCTAATACCTTGAAACATAAAATAACTTGATTTGTAAATACCAAAGAATCAAATAAATTAAGGGACACAAAATTAGGAGAACTTTACATTTTAATACAGTATCATGATTATCAGTGATAAAAGGTGTTTTCTTCATGGTAAAAAGTAATTATGATATTTGATAAAACTGGTATGATTAATTCATTATGCAACATCACAGCTTGCATATTGTTGGTATTCATAATCTCAAATTTACAGAATGTTTTCAAATGCAAGGAGTTAAGAAAAAGTAATAAAAAAAACAGCTTTTCTGTGACTTTACAAAGGAAAATTTTCCAAGAATGGGATATTAAAAAATTCATCCTTGAGAATCAAGACATACTTTCTAAATCCAAGTTCCTTTAAGTCTTTTCTTTTTTCACATTATTGATAGAAAGGTAAAATGTTAGATTAAGGCCAAACATTAAAAATTGTTTTAATTTTCACTTACTTGGATATAGAATATCAGCAATCTCAAAGTCATGCACCCGACAGATGGGCAGAAATGAGTCCCTTGAAGATAAAGTGGAGCAAGCATATTGAAAAGTATCTTTTGAATTACACTCTAAGTCAAAGAGGATAAACATCCTTTTATCAAAAAGATTTCTAGATATATTTCTCAGTGTCAAAGGACTGAGTCAGAAGTCTACTACAATACATAATCATATACCACTGAAATCTACTTTTTCTGTATATTACACAAGTATTCATGTAATACCAAGGTATAGTTATAGATTCTAATAAACAACACACAATCTTGGGGGTACCAGGACTCTCTAAGATGCAAAACTCTAACAATTTTAGACTCACAATTTTAGACTCACTTAATACATCAACTGAAAGAACTGAAGTGGAGGCAGTTAACTGTATTTGCTAGAAAAGTACAATTTTGAATATTCATGGGAGGGAGTAGAGTGAAAAATGGTAGAAATTCCTTTCCAAAGAAAATCATGTCTTTAAGAAAGCCAAATGTAATATAAATACAAATGTGGACTAAGAAAATAATGACTCTTTACTTACAAATGAATAAACAAATTGCTGACTGGTAAGAAGCCTTCCATTATGTGCGGATACATGACTTCAGAGTTCACTGGCATCTAACATAATAAATCACAAAATCCAAATTACAAATTGATTAGAAAAAACGAGAAAAATTTTCAACCTCAAGAAAGTTTAATCACTGATTAAAATCAAAATATATTAACTTACTATCATTAAACAAACAATGAAGATCCTGGCATGAAACTAGATGTGTCATTAATATTAATAATGCTCAGTTCATAAGTGAGTGCTCAGTAAAGACTTTTTAAATGAATGAAAAAATAAAGGGGCAATGATTAGCATTTGCTAAATATCAGGTACTCTGCTAAATTATATAAATATATTCCTAACATATATTCCTCCTTAATTTTTATAACAAAAGTAGGACAGAGTACTAACCTTATTTTATAGACAAAGAAACTAAGCCTTAACAAGATTTCATAGCAAATAAATGACAAACCCTTTGATTTTCAAACAATATATACTGAGATTATTCTACAGATACTGCATTTTTGTACATCTTCAGTTGATGCCCTGATGATTTAACAATAACATCAAAAAAAGATTAAGAAAAATAATTTTCCTACTAGAAATACCTAATTTGCTATAAGTTCAACTACTTTATTTCAACTGTTTCCAATCTCTTATTCTAATTTGGAAGTCCTTCCTGAGAAGAGAACAGTATCTGTGAAGACTTTGCTACTGCTTATTGTAGTCTCTGAAGACAAGCCTGAAAATCTGTTAATAACTGCAGAGAATCAATAACTTGTGTCATTTAGGTCTTCAGTAATAGTTTTCATCTCAGTAAAGCTATCAATATAAATCATTACTACACCTAAGATTCCTTTGTAAATGACATTAACTTTAAATAAGCCTTTGATTTTGCTAAAAATAAAGTCAAGAACTTCCTATCCTGAAAACCAACATCAATGTGAGCAGGAGAAATGCAGCAAAAGAACATAATTTTGCTTCATCTTAAACCCACCATGTAAAAATGCTCCAGTCGAATTCCATATACGATCTGTAAAGCTCTCATGTAGATCATATGTAAGACTTCAGGCTATAACAGAAAAATAACTCTTAATACTCTGTTGTACCACTGTCACCATTACTGTCCAATATTGTAGTTAATGGATAAAAAGAAGAGTGACAACCTTACTCCGTTTCCCTTGAAATATTTTTTTTGCCACTTTATTTATTAATTGAAGGATAACTGCTTTATAGAATTTTGTTGTTTCTGTCAAACATCAACAAGAATCAGCCACAGGTACACCCGTGCGCCCTCCCGCCTCAGCCTCCCTCCCAACCCCACCCCTCTAGATTGTTACGGAGCTCCTGTCTGAGTTCCCTGGGTCAGACAGCAAATTCCCACTGGCGATCTGTTTTATATATGGTATTGTAAGTTTCCATGTTACTCTCTCCATACATCTCATCCTTAATTTCTCCATATTTTAAAACACCTATATACTCATCAGTTTGCTCATACATGCTAAGTCATATGTACTGGTCAATAAGATCAGTAGTTTAGGCTTATACACAGAATGATAACAAGAATATTCAAACACAATCCAAGCAATCTATCCACATTTAGGGAATGGAAGAATAGGTTAGTCTTTCAAAACATGTCATCAAACATATGACAAAAATAATGAGGGCATTTTTTTTTTTTTAAAGAAGAACATGGGAAACCTTGTTTGATGCCTCAGATGTTAAGATGCCTTAGCTGTTAAAGGGACTATTATGATCCAGGAGGTATACATTTAATAGGATAGTATGGGATTTTTAACTTTTATCTTCTAAATCAGCATTTTCCGAACCCTGGCCTATAGAACCTTTTCTCATCCATATGAGAAACAAGTTTGTTTATTCTGAGATTATTCCTTCCATTTTAAAGAATTAAAGAGTCATCAAGATCAAAAAGTTTAAGTTCTACATCATTAAACCAGGTTTTATTATGTTATCACTTCAAGATGAACACAAGAAAATGGAAGGAGACTTTGGGATTTTCTGTAACACACGACTAGTTCACTTCTGCATTTAACAACTAAAGACATAAAAAACACTATGTGTCCAAACAAGTCAATTCCCTGTTGGGGCATAATGCAAGAAAATTAATCTGTAAGCTTCCCAAGAAGATTGTTTCTAAGCACTTTTTGTGATTGGAAACCACCTGGAGTAAGTTCCTTCAAGCTTTACCAATAAATGATACCCTCAGACCACTACTTCAATAATAAAGTTTAATGTACTGTAATACATTTATGGTTCAGAAGCTTTTTTTGGAAAAAACAACTGCCTTAAAGACTTGAATTCCTAATAGGAATGCAGAAGTTGCCCCACATAAAAGCAGTGTTATTTTAAAATAACTCTAGTTGAGAGATTTTCTCTGGATTAAAATTACTAGCCTTTATCAAGTACTGATATACATGCCCTTCCCCACACATTACAGACCTCGTGTAGCCTGTATATTAACCACATGCAAAAACAACCACATTTTACCTTGGGATTTGGAGAAAGATCATTCTTAGAGAGGTTTTTACCATCAGCTCCTGTTAAGATTTTGTTTCGAATATGAACCACAATTTCAGCTGCATTATATCTAGGAAAAGACAAAGTTTCCATCTCGGGAGTCTCCTGTTGGTTTGAAAGAATTAAAAACAAAGATCAGAAACATGGCACAACCAGCAGTTCTCACTACCTGGAAGCTGACAAATACAAGCACAAAATTAACAAGCTAAGGTTGAACTATATTTATGGTAGTGCTATTATCAAATCATCAAACATCCTAGTAAGATAATATTAAAAACAAATATATATACACACACACACATACATATTCTAAAACAGCTTTTATTCTAAAGCAACACAGTCATTTTCTAATTTAACTAATACTGTTTTCTTTTTCATGGGAAAGAGGACTTAGGTTGAACAGACAGATGAGAAACTATGTTTTTTGGTTTGTTTTTTTTTAAAGTTTGGGAGGCCGAGTTCAATAAGATCCCGAAGATTAATCCTCAAAGTAAAATATATAGGTAACACCATCAGCAGAATCTATACACAAACAACAGCAACATAGGGTAAATAAATAATAAGCTGTACTGTACTCTGACTTGACATTCTATTTAATGACACACAGTGAGATGATTAATAAGGTTTAAGATGTAAGTAGGATGAGAGAGAAAAAACAGAGTAAGGATAGAATAGCTGTGAGTAAAAGTCATCAGTCATGTCATCATCATTCTTTGCGACACCATGGATTGTAGCCCACCAGTCTCCACTCACCATGGAATTTTCCAGGCAAGAATACTGGAGTGGGTTGCCATTCCCTTCTCCAGGGGATCTTCCTGACCCAGGGATCGAACACAGGTCACCTGCACTGCAGGTAGATTCTTTACCATCTGAGCCTCCAGGGAAGCCCATGAATAGCTGTAACTGGCAGGAATTCCAATCACCAGATGAGAACTTGAAAAATAAAATAACAAAAAACCCACTCCTTACAATGTCCTTCAATAGTGAAATATTTGCACCTGTGTCCTCTGAGAGCAGTTGTTCTCACAATTTTGGAGACACTTTTGGTTGTCTGCACTAGACTGAGGATGCTACTGGAACCTAGTGGGTAGTAGGCCCAGCATGCTGCAAAACACCCTGAAAGGTGATTGACAAATAACTTCCCAGTTCTGCTTAAACATTAGAAACATCACAGAATTCACTGTCTCAAGGCAACTTTTTGTCCACCTTAGTATGAATCTAATAATAAGATAACGCTTTCTCATACTATACAGAAATCTGTTTGTTATAACTCATTCTGGTCCTATTTCTTGTCACTGCAACTAAATAGAATTTATTAATCCTTGGTCACATGACTCCACTTTCAAAAATGTGAAGAAAGCTATCATATCTCTCTGCTTAGTCCTCTCTGATCTAAAGAAAGTATAGTTTAAGAACAGCCACTCCATTTATGACTTTTAGAAACTATCATTCTGCTCACTTTCCTCTACAACTATTTCATCAGTGTCTTCTTAAAATGTAACACTCAAACTGAACATAATACTCCAGATATGGTCTGAATACAGTGGAATATCAATGCAGTCGGCAATAGTCACTGCTCATCTAATGCTACTATAACACTTACTGACAAATGTGTGTGTGTGTGTGTGTGTGTGTGTCTGTGTCTGTGTATGGGCGTTTGACTCAAAGTCCCAGAACTTTTTCAACGTAGCCCACTTCTCCATAACTTCTTACATGACTTTGTAGTCCACTAGCCAGGAGTTCTCCATGCTCTTTTTACATAACTGATTATTTGAACCTTAAGGATTTGTATTTCCTATGACTGAATTTCCCATTATTCCTATTTCATACTATTGAATTTCATAATATGCATTTCCTATTACTGAATTTCATAATTCCAGACTTTCCTTCTATAGTCAGAATCTTTTTGTATCCAGATTCTGACACCTCACATGTTATACGTCCCTTTTAACATAAATATGCATTCCATATTTTCATCTAAGTCATAGATTTGAAAATCATTGCCCAAAGAAAGACTGCAGAAAAAGTCAACTTTCCAAAACAAACTATTAATATAGCTGGATCAGAGATTATTCCAATAGAGAAAGAGGTGCAAAATACAATATCTTCATAATTATTATCACACATCTCTCCCTTCTAAAGTCTTGTGCACTTTGCTATCAGGTTAATCTGCATAGAACAACAAATGCATCAGGTAACATCTTTACAAAAATAATTACTTGCCCTACCCATCACATCAAATTCAAATGTTTCTGCTTGGCTTTTAAAAACTTCCACAATTTAATAACCTAATCTATTTTCTGTTACAAGTTAGTCTCCTCCAGGACGTTTCCCAAACTTCCAATATTTCCTTTTGAAACCACCTCTCCTATCTACCTTTTGTTTTTGATAGTACAATTTCAGTTCCAATTTGCCACGAGTGTGTGGAGAGAGGGAGGGAGAACGGGACAGGGTGGAGAAGGAGAGAAAAAGACAAGAGGTGGAGAGGCCTTCCAATATAGTTTGAGCTCTCTGGTGAGATAAAGTATATAAAAGACCTAATATGTAAAGTAGCAGGCCATTTACTGCTAATCACCTCTAGGTGTCTCATTATTTGCAACACCACAATCCAGCGCACAGCAGGTTCATTTTTCTAAAATAAACTAGATCGTGGAAATCAAAAGCCCAGGGAGCCGATGCTAAACAAAGAGAAAAGAGTCCCAACCTCAAAAGATTAAAATTTTCCTGAACTTATTCAGGGAAAAATGATCGTGCCATGCACGCAAAGCGCTATATATACACCGCCCTCTTCCTCTGACTTTTGGATTAAGCATGATATTTTAAATATCACACCGCAGGTTGACGAGCTGCGGTCCAGTGGGTCGCAAAGAACACGACCTGGCGACTGAACAGCAACAACAACATGATATTTTAGCCTTTCGATTTTTGGTTTTGACTTTGGTTAAGCGATGTTTGAGTAACGGAGATTCATGACAGCATCTGGAACCCCATTATCTTCGAAATAAATCGATTAAAAATATAGAAATACAACCTTCAACAGACAAGCTGGACCTCAAGTTTCTTCTCGCGTAATCTTTGCTGTACCAGATGACAGGCATTCGTTTCGTAGGAAACGAGTTCAGATTGTTTAGCGGGCTAAAATCTAACAACAACGACCGAAGAGCTCACCCGCACCACCCAAAGGCGGGCTTCTGCAGCCTTCTCCCCAGCGACGCGTGTAACGAAAACACTGTCAGGCCCGTGGCTCCAGAGCGAGAGAGCACACACTGTCTCCCGGACTCCGTCCACGCGTGTCTCTCTGCTCTCACCTACCGCAGCAGCCGCCCTCAGGACGGCGGCGAGTCCGTGGAGCAGCCACAGGCGAAGTCAAAAGTCAGCAAACACCGACCGTTGTCAATTTTCAAACCAGCCGCCTCCAACTGGAAGTCCCTCCCCGTTCCGCCCCGCCCACTTCCTGCGCTCCGTTCGCGCCGGGTACCGGCTGGGCTCAGTAGGCTTAGAGCGGTTGGCGCTGGAGGTGCGAGAGAGAACGCTGGGCTCTAGGCGGAACTATTTTTCGCGGAGTTGACGTCCAGTCGGAATTGGATTCTGCAGGAAGTGGGAGAGCCGCGGTTTGGGCAAGTAGACCGGCACGGCCGCGGAACTCCCGAGGTTCGTAAACATGTTTTGCTTCAGAGGTGAAGAGCGAAAGTGAATAGAGGGTTTCTGGAGACTTAAGCTAAGCTCATCGTAACAAGGAAAGGAGGACGTGGGGCTGTCAGTGGGGCAAGGTAAGTCATAGAGTCTCAGAGTGCTAATAATGCTGATGCTTTTTGAGCAGAGCCCCCGGGTTCTGTGTTGGATGCTTACAGGTGTTATCTTTTTCAGTTCAGTTCAGTCGCTCAGTCATGTCTGACTCTTTGCGACCGCATGGAATGCAGCATGCCAGGCTTCCCTGTCCATCACTAACTCCCCGAGGTTGCTCAAACTCATGTCCATTGAGTCGGTGATGCCATCCAACCATCCCATCCTCTGTCGTCCCCTTCTCCTCCCGCCTTCAATCTTTCCTAGCATCAGGGTCTTTTCCAGCGAGTCAGTTCTTCGCCTCAGGTGGCCAAAGTATTGGAGTTTCAGCTTCAGCATCAGTCCTTCTAATGAATTTTCAGGACTGATTTCCTTTAGGATTGACTGGTTGGATCTCCTTGTAGTCCAAGGGACTTCAAGAGTCTTCTCCAACACCACGGCGCCCAGCTTTCTTTCTAGTCCAACTCTCACATCCATACATGACTACTGGAAAAACCTTACCTTTGATTAGACAGACGTTTGTCAGAAAAGTAATGTCTCTGCTTTTTAATATGCTGTCTAGGTTGTTCATAGCTTTTCTTCCAAGGAGCAAGTGTCTTTTAATTTCATGGCTGCAGTCACCATCTCCAGTGATTTTGGAGCCCCCAAAAGTAAAGTCTCTCACTGTTTCCATTGTTTCCCCATCTATTTGCCATAAAATGATGGGTCTGGATGCCATGATCTTAGTTTTTTGAATGTTGAGTTTTAAGCCAGCTTTTCACTCTCTCCTCTTTCACTTTCATCAAGAGGCTCTTTAGTTCTGCCCTTTCTGCCGTAAGGGTGGTGTCATCTGCATATCTGAGATTAATGATATTTCTCCTGGCAATCTTGATTACCGCTTGTGCTTCATCCAGCTCTGCATTTCTCATGATGTACTCTGCATATAAGTTAAATAAACAAGGTGACAATGTACAGCCTTAACGTATTCGTTTCTCAGTTTGGAACCAAACTGTTCCATGTCCCGTTCTAACTGTTGCTTCCTGAGTTGCATACAGATTTCTCAGGAGGCAGGTCAGGTGGTCTGGTATTCCCATCTCTTAAAGAATTTTCCACAGTTTGTTGTGATCCACAATATCTTTTTTAGGATTCATTAAAAAGGGAAAAGGGGCTAATAGATACCATCATCAACTTAGGGATTAATTCAGGGAAATTATGCCACTGACTTAAAGCTATGTGCAGAAGTTCGTGCATGCATGCTAAGTCACTTCAGTTGTGTCCAACTCTTTGTGACCCTATGGACTGTAGCCCACCAGGATCCTTTGTCCTTGGGATTTTCCAGGCAAGAATACTGGAGTGGGTTGCTATTTCCTCCTCCCATGTAGGGTAGAATCCTGGTCTTTTCTTCTGCCTCCCTTCTTTCATGCTGCCACAAGAGCCAGGCATTGCCAGTGCCTTCCAACACTGAACTGTCCTCTGAACACACATGTCCCTGAATGAGTTGGATTCTTTAGTTGATGCCTGAATGAGGGGCAGGCACCTCATACCTAGTCACAAATCAGGGCCTTGCAGCAGAAGATGGGACGATAGGACGGCCTGGTTGTTGGGGAGAGTGGGGGGCAGCCATTGAGTTTTATTACGTGTTGGGACCCTGGAAGATGTAATAGAACTTGCAGGGTTCAGTATTAGTGAGGGTGATGTACTGGTTGGGAAGTCTGGGCTGAATCAAGTGAAAAACAATGCTGAAAAGGTTGTGTTGACAGTAGACACAAATTCTGGTACTTTGTTGTATGGGGGAGTGGAGGCTCTACCTATTAATATAGAAATTTATGCTGATTTGAAGTAAAAGTATGTTTCATATTCAGTAGTTTCGGGCTTTCTTTTCCCCTTTCTATGTCCATTTACTGATATAATTCTCAAAGTCAGAATCTAATAAAACTCAGAAGTTAGTTAGGAAATAGATTTTTTTAAAACATTGAGAGTCTGAAAAAAAGAGACCTTTCTCATTGGCACTTACCAAATCAAGCTGATTACTTGTGATTTCACGTAACTCCAATAGGCCATATCTTCTTAGAAACAGAAAAAGAATGTAGATAGCATAATGGCTGAGAGCTTAGCTCTTGAGAAGCTGACTTTAAATCCCTTATCATAGTGCTTACCATCTATGTGGACTCCGGCAGCTTGATTAACCTAACTAAACTGGTTTCTGCATCTTTAAAATAGAGATAATATCTGATTTATAGGGTGTCATGAGATTAGATAGATTTATTCTTGTGAAGTATTTCACAGAATAAGTATTAATATTGCCAGTTATTTTGACTATTATTATTTATACATTGTCCTAGTAAATAATCCTGCAAATGTTAAGTGTTCAACCATTGCTAAGAGTCCAGACAAGAAAAGGTGACCTATTTGTAAACTAAAAATAGAATGAACCATATGGAGAAAGAAAAATGAGGTGATCGAAAAGCAGAATGACTGTATTTATAGGATAATAATTGTGTATTTGGAGGATAATTTTACTGTAGATATGGCAAATTGATAGTTTATTAAACTTAAGAAAAAACTAACAGGTATTTATTCAGGTTGTCTTGATTATAAGGGTAGATCTGATTTTTCAAGATTTAGTTGTCTGTTATTGGTCATCGTGGAGTAGGAGGCAGAACATCAGAAATACAGAAATCCCAACCTAGACTTTCTTGAGTTTTGTCATGATTCATAAAGACATTAACTACAGCAAAAAAATTAGATTCCACTAGTCTTTATGGCTGTAACATCTTTTTCCCCTGCACCTCTATAACCTCACGTGGTCCATATCTGCTCTTATATTTCATTTTCCCTCTCAGCCCTCCTGCCATTACCTCCCTTCCCAGCCTAGACCACAGATTTATCAATATCCAGATGCCCCGTGTTTCCTTGCCTCAGACCCCAGTGCCTGTCAAAACCTTAATCCTGAGTCTGTCCCATAAATCTCCAGCTGAGAACTTTGGAGGAAATAACACAAAGTGACATACAACAGATTCTGGGTCTGCAGCTTCAGCTTACCCCAATTCTTGACATTCCTTTATCATTTGTCAGTTCCCGGTCTTATAACTTTCAGTGATAACTACCTCCTCCTTCCTGAGCTTCAACTTCTTTTTTGTTACAAGGTGACTAGTCTAAAAGGTATTTTTCAAGCACTTAACACACATTCCCATCTGCCTGCAATTTTAATGCCAGTTCCTTTTTTAATTCGTGTTCTTTTTCTATTGTAGGTTGCACTTTAGACCCCAGATGACAGACCTGTAAAGGCCGAGCAGACCTTTGACTGACAAGATGGGGTGCTCAGTGAGACCATCACAGCCTGCAACTAGGACTTTATCTTGAACTCAGGTAGTGTTCCTGTGGTAGCTAGAGCTTTTGGTTAAATTTTTTTAAATCTCTTTTTAAGTGACAAGATTTCCAAATTGTTTCTGCTTTTTTTTTTTTTTTTAAAAAAAGGGTTAGTGAGGATGAAAAGTTGATTCACTTGGTCTAGTGTGGTAGGAATAGGTGAAATACCAAGATTGGTATTATGCCAAGGTCTTATGCCCTCCTTGCCATCAAAGACCCACTCATTTGAGGATGGAGATTTCCTCGGGGCCACAGACATTTCCAGCAACCTTGTACCTAGTTAATTGAGAAAATCCAAGCCCTCATGTGATGTATCACAGCTTCCTGTCCACCCCACATTTATCTGCCTCTCTCTTATTGGTCTTGGAAAATGAATAGCACCCAGTCCACCCGTGCTATTGACCAGTGCCTCTCTCTAGACCATCTCTTACCTTTCACACCATTGGTCAGACCCTTCTTGAAACCTGAATCCCTTTGCTTCTCTCCTGTTTGTTCTACTTATCTCATGCTTCTTAGGGGCGCTTTCTCTGCCTGTCCTTTAAATAGTATAAATTTAAACCTTGATTTTTTTTTCTCCTCTTTTTTTTTTTTTTTTTTTTTGATGAATATTCCCTTTCAGAGTACCATCCATGCTCATTGTTTTAAGCTATTTGCTTAAGGATCCTAAAACTGCTGCTATACCTGACTTCTTCCTTGAGACTCAGACTTTTATTTGCCTACTACATAGATCCATTTGGGAGGGCTCATGAGCCATTCAGATTCTAATTTATCCCTTCCTTTTATTTCAGCTACCAATCTATCTCACTGTTGCCTCCAGCCTTAACAACCCTCACCTACATCCCCCAATTTGTCTTTTCAGTAGCAGCCAGAATGATCAGTCTTAAATGTAAATCTGACCATTTTACTGGTCTGTTTAAATGTCTCCAACCCTCCCCCGCCCCCTGCCACCTCCACCATCACCTGCAAGATAAAGTCTACCTCCATAGCCTGTATCCTAGGACCTCCATAATCTCACCACTGTTTATGTTTCCACTATCATCTTCCATCACACACACTTCCCCTTCATGATGCTGTTTTACACTTATAGAACTTTTCATATTCTTATTGATACTGTCTGGATGTCTTGATTTTCTTTGCCTAACTCCTACTTTCTTTACTTATTTTTCAGATATCTTCTAGAAAGCCTTTCCCTAATCCACAGACTGAGCTAGTTGACTTTCCTTCTGACTTTCTGAGTGTTGATTGATTTATCCAGAAAATACTTAGCCTCTTATTTTATGCCAGACACTGAGCTAGATATGGAAATATAATAATGAACAAGTAAATGTAAAAATCAATCTAATAATTGACCTGACAAAGCTTATATTCTCATAGGGAAGGGAAACATGAATTAAAAAAAAAAAATGTAGTTC